GGGTTCGTTATTACCAGTTTTGTTTTCGCAGTGCTAAGGTGTCATGCGAAAACTGTCAGCGCCAAATTATACTGTGGTTGAGAGGGAAGCATCGAAGGGGAAGCCCGAAAGCTGTTTTACCAGAACACGATTGTAAACCGTTCACAAAAGCAGTCTAGTTGCTGCAGTTATTGAGTTGCAAAATGGTCAGACCATGCTGAGAAAATTTCACCAATACAGTCGTTTTCGATATGGAGTTACAAAGCTGTCAACATAAAATCATATACCCTTGCATACGAGGTTTGGAAAAAAGCGAAAATTGTTTTCACGTGCTCCTACCCGAACATGCCTGGAGGCCATGCTCAGAACATTTCGGCACTCTAGCTGCTTTGTTTGCGAAGTAACATAAAATTTCATAAGTCCGTAAGTAAGGAAAAATGTGAATACTGTGTTTACGTACGTCTACCTGAACGCGGAGTCAACTTTACTCAAAAAAATTTCAGCATTTTATAAGTCTTTTCACACTCAACCTACTGGTCCTCAAAACAATATTGTTTTAAAAAAAGAAAGACAGATTTTGGCGCAGCTAGATTTTTCAGCAAGAGTTTTTAACAACTGCAGGAAAAGCTCCAAGAAAATACAGAAATGTTAAGATCGCCTGAACAATTGTTTTATGAAATTTTGCAGAAAGTAGTCAATATTTTTTTTTTAACATTTTTTTAACATTACGCTTGTTACAGGCCGGAAGATTGTGTCAATTTGCACATATCTATGGTGGCGCGGACAGTATTCGCTGCAGCTGCTTCCAAATTTGACTAGTGACGTCGGTCTTTGGCAATCGTTTTCACCTGTCTATGAAATTCAACACTCACAAGTGACCAGTGGGCAAAAAAAGTTAAAAGGAATTAAAGAGTACCGGAAGCATGCGTAAAGTTAGTTTAATTACTGCCTGAAATGTATTAAATACGAAATTATTACATCAAAACAAGTTTTCGCAGTCTCTTTACCTTTCCCTGAAAAAAAAACAGGTAGCAGGTGTAATACCAGAGCAGTCAGCGCGATCATGCTTTTTGTGCAGTTCTGCCCAGTAGATGTCTGCGGTCGAGAATATTTATATCTTACGGCTTTATGTGTGCAAAAATTGTCAAAAAGTTGTCTTGTTGCTAAACTAGAAGATACCCGCTAAGAACTTATACATATTTGGACATAAGAGAAAAAGTAAGATCTGGACATGAAAGAAAAACAAATTTGAATTTTCGAGACGCAAATTGTTAGGAGAAACCATTTTAGAATTTCAGCATTCTACCTTATCTGGTCCCTGAAATGAAATACGTGGGCACTTTAACACATTCGTGTATGAGAACTAGGTGTAACTGAAAAGTAAACTGCAGGATGTATTGATAAAAAGACTTTCGCTTTCTGTTTTGTTAGTTCCGTAGTTGAAAAGATGCGGAAAATTCTTCATCTGTAATTTTACACGCACCACTTAAGACTTATACCTAGATGGTAGCCAAGTTTGAAGTTCCATATTCGGAAACATTCTCCTGTAATTTTATCTTTCTACCTCGTTTGGTGTATGTCTCCACGCTTTCGCGAATCTAGCTGCGTGGAGTCCTAGCCTACAGATGGCGTTCGTTCTGGGCGTTTTTGCACTCATCGCCCCTAAAAAGTCTGGTGCTCTGGAAGATGCTGCGCAGCGACGTCAGTAAGAGGACGATAAAACTTTGCAAGTGAAAGCAGCGGCACACAGCCATCTAAAACACAGC